CTCCCGAAAACATCGAAACTGGAACGACCAAAATGTGATTAGCTGGGATATACTAGTCATTATACTTCGTAGAAAACAGTCTCGCGGCCGGTCAAGCCGGTAGAGTCTCGGTTTTCAAGCGATCGACAAAGTATTAGGCATATCCGCAAGTAATGTCGTTTCTTGATACTACAACAGAATTTTATTTCATTCAAGAGTTAATTTCAACAGTTTGCAATTCTATAATATAATTCTCCCATTCTATCCTAATTTTTATTTCCTTCTTGTGAAATGAGGGTGATTTCGAAGTGAAAAGAAATAAGTCTTATAACAGATTTCTAAACTGAAATCACCGTCAAATTTTGTAAACCAACGCCTACGTGTTATGGTGCAAGGCATTCATAGCATTAGTGGCATTGTTGTGCTTTCGAAATTCATAAAGCATCAAATGTCTAATATGGAATTTATTCACACTTTGCTCTTTCATTTTTATAGGATTCACTCAAAATTTTTTTCAAAATTTAACTAAATATCAATATATTTAACTAGAATATAGGTTATATTGTAATAAGACACTAAATATCAATATATTTAACTAGAATATAGGCTATAACAAGATACACTAAATGTCAATATATTTAATTAGAATATAGGTTATGCTATAACAATATACACTAAATGTCAATATATTTAACTGGAACATAAGTTACAATAAGCACACTAAATGTCAATATATTTAACTAGAATATAGGTCGTGTTATAACCTATATGTAAGTTAAATTATTATCACTATTAAATTTGAAAAAAAAGCATTATGCGGTATCCCTAATAGAAGTTTCAGTTTCAATTAATCGTCAAGAATCTCCGTCGTTGATAAAGAATAAATAGTTAGTCAAGTGAAATCTACGTCAGTAATAAGGAAAATCGTTATCAGAGTATAATTTTATGTTTTATCCATCATTATTAGAGTATTTTTTAGAGTAATTTTACATCGGCAATACAGGATGAATTAAAAATCACTTGCCATGTTTGAACTTAAATTTAATTTAAAATTAATAAAATTAGCTTTCTCTTATATCTTGACGTTTTATTAAAAAAAAAAAAAAAGTGGGAAAAAACTTTTGGCCTACTCTGTACAAGTGGAATTTATCACGATGCAATTCAGACAAGAATTGTATATATATTGTAAACTTAACCGAAAAAGGCAAACTCGACGTTTCGTAATGATTAGTACGGCCACGAGTCCGCGATACACTTGCTGTTGTTGTAGAATGAATAATTTTTAGCAAGTCGATGAAAATTCCTCTGACTTGCTGCGTTCGTTGATTTTTTTTCACGACAGGAGTATTTTTGTTGCTCGATAGCTGCGAAACGAAATGTAAAGAAGCCTCGATCCGGTTAAACGTCTTTAACGGTGCACGTCGTAAATATATCCCTCGTTCATTTCTCGGTTGTTACTTCCCTCTGCCAATATCCCTGAGACCGCGAGTAGATACATCCATTTCAACGATCCCTGCCCATCGACGCGGATCTTTGTTCCACGGCTCGATTTACATAGGACAGCGAAGCACACAGCAGGATTTTCCCCCGCTGAAAGTGAACCGATCGTTTCGTAGAGGCCAGCATGTGGTAAATAAGGTATTAATAGGCCCTGGTTTGACCCGAACAAACTTTCGAACGCCATGTCCACGTGATAAAGTGATTTTCGAGTGGATAGGAAAGAGAAGAGAGCAAACGAGCAACGTCGGAAACCTGTTAGTGTTAGATTTATCGGCGAAATCAACCATAAAGAGTTTATTGATTTTAAGATTCTCCGTTCATTATTTCTCTAGATGAGACCGAACTGCGTGGAACTATCAGCGCACAATGATGGGAAGACAAATTTTGAGACTACGTTCTCCGCGGATCAAGAGAAAATGCTTGACGAACGAACGCGAAGAAAGCAGAGCTTCGAGAGCTCGGAGACGCAGGGAAAGGGATGAAAGACGGGCATGTAGCGTATTTACATTTCCCGTATGACTTTTTAAATTAACGCAGCCAAGCATACGGGGCACAGAGAGAGGTCGGGTTACGATAAAGAAACGAAAGATAGTCGGGAATGGACGCACGGAGATGAGAGACGAGATATTTTCTGCCTTTCCTTCAACAGAGCGTCCTGCACTTTGTACTGTATCACAGTACCGGAAAGAGAGACCACACTGTCCATCCATCGTCGTTTCTTCTCTCCTTTTTTTCTTCTTCTTTTCTTTCGCGTTTCGCTTCCTCTCGATCACCGGCCAAGATTTGAATCTCTCATTTCGCCCGATGAAAAACCCCCTGACGCGAGCGTGGACAAGAGTCGATGCATTTGCGTGGAATATCACCGATCTTGCCGAAAAGTTTTTGCAATAAACCAACGGATCCACGAAAATGGTGTCGATCGTGTATCTTTGAATATTTGTATTCCTCTCGAAGGACTATCCACTGTTGTGAGAAATGAACTGAATCCTTATTCCAAGGTTTGACTCATAAATTAACGTTCTTGACACACTGTGACCAACTTTATTTCGCGTTGCAGAATTTTTAACGATTTTGCTCCTTGGCGAGCCGGTTTTGTTAAAACGGACTAGCTTGATCTGGCCAGTCACACTCGAAGTACGGGCCTTTAATTTAATTGCTCCGCTGTGGGTCATCTAAACATGAAATTAAAGTGACATTAAAGCATCGATGGTATAAGATCGATGACAACCGTTTTTTAGAGGACACTAAGCCTAACATGCTCGCGGATTATTAAAGTCCTGATCTAGTAAACACTGATCCTTTGACGCCTAAATCAATCCAATTCCGCTGAAACGAGAAGCGCTCGAATCGAATTGAAGGCCTACGTTTTCTATACAATTTTAATAAATTTTACAAAAATACAGTTCGCAGTGAAGATCGACTGGTAAAAATACTGACGATCACCTGCGTACGTAAACGCAGTACAACAATTCGAGAAAATGCAAATGCGCAGTGTGTGGAAAACATAACAGAACGAGGTATACGAGTTACGAATAAAAGTGACGTAGATTATCAATTAAATATACTATGAAACAGAGCTTAAAGTTGCTGTTAAACTTTTAGTATGTGCACTGACAATTCGATGCAGAATACGAATGAGTAAATAATACTGGTTTCACATAGTGCTTCGATGTAAAACGAACGTTGACGAAGAATTACCGCGTGTTACGTGCGGTACGTATATCGTAGGTCATGCAGTTAGTGAAATGCAGAGACTGCACGAGAATATTTAATCATTCTTGCGCCAAGATAAAGAAAGTATCCAAATCAAGACTAAAAAAGGGATGGTTGCGCGTTGTCTGCGTTGTCTGCGTGGTGAAGAGGAACGAGAATGCAATCCGGCATTCCATCTGCCGATCATTTCATTTCAGAAACGTTTCTCTCCTGGCAGCCAGGACCCAGTAACGGGATTGAGACGAGCGCGCGGCTCGATCCCCTCGAACGTAGATCGTTATATCGTGCATCGTTATCTCGCGGGTCGTTAAAGATCGCGAGCGTAATGCCTGGCAAAGCCGGCTGAATTCGATCTAACGGGAACGCACGCCAGTCTTGTCAATTGTTCGAGAGAAGCGAACGTCTCGACGAGTCCGAAACGGGAAACGCATCTCCGGAGTAATAGATTTTGCCGGGCGCTGCTTTCTGTCGGTCTGTCGGCATCCCCCTGTCCCCCTCTCACCGGTCAACGTTCTCCGGAGAAAGAACGTGAGCAGCGAGACTGAGAGCTGAGAGACGCGATCGTTTCAGGGTCGTACATACGGGAAAACTGCCAAAGAACCACGACGGTTCGGCTTGCTTCTATACACCGATCTCGTCACGATTCGTGGGATTCGTACAACACTCGGACAACATGAGCTACACGACAGAGAGCTACAAATAATGCGTAATAACAGTAAAGTACCTCGGCGCGGTCCAATGTCTTCGCCCACTCAACTTGCATGCACTCAACTCCAACTCGGAAGCCAACGAACGCATTGACACGGTATCGAGCCGCTCTCGAATCTAAAAATCCCTTATCCGACGAGTCAACGGAACGACCAACGCGCGCTCCGTACTCGAGGAACTTATCGCCTCTAATAGCTCGCGCAGGATCACGGCAACGGGTCCCTGATTACGGGGAAAAGCCAACCTGTTAATTCTGAAACCCGTTATGATCGTTCCTGGTGTCCAGCGCGGCACGATCGTCCATCTTGTACGCGACGTTATTACAGTCAATCCCCTGCGCTGCGAGAGCCAGGGCCAGAGTGCAGTTTAAATCCTGGAAAAACCGCGGGAATCTCTTTCTCTCTCTCTCT